TGCAACTTGTTCTGTAGACCAGGCTGGCCCCAAACTCAGAGATCCACTGTCCTCTGCCTCTCAAGTGCTGGGATTTAAAGGTGTGTGCCACTATTACCCACTTCACCCTTCTCTTTTAAAATTATTTCCTACAAATGTTTCATCAACTTGTCTGGTTGATTATAGAACCTGCTTTGACAACATGATTGGCACTCACCACCGGTGGTAATTAAGATAGAAATTTTTATTTATTTTGAGGGAAAATGACCTATTGCTAGCATGGGATATGGGGATCCTAATAAAGAAATCATAGTGAAGCACATAATTTGAGAAGAAGCTGAGTTAGAGCTGAACCTGAATCCCTCAATAAGGTGATAAGAGAAGAGATAACTCTTAGTGGGAAGATCTGGTGAATAAAATCACAGAAGTCAGTGAGGTTGGCATATGTGTGATGTAGGGTATTCTAAGTAGACCATAATGGTGAATGTGTGGACTCCATACTGAGGAGCTTGTATGTCAGCCATGGGTATAGTTCCTAGTGTAAGGAATTCTCCTGCCTTCTGTCAAATCTGCTTATCATTGATTCAATAATTTCAGTATTATTCAAGTTTGGTATGACTAGTGAGGCATTTGTTAAATAAATATGTTATAAAGCTGTCTATAGATAATACTTATTTCTTCTTAGTTATCAAGATATTGCCATTAAAAGAACAGGGTTGACCAATGGCTAGGCCTCAGAGTTGAGAGACTGTACAATAGAGCCAGTATATTTTTCTATAAGCATTTTATTTAAGGAGCAGTATAAATATTTAATTACAACATCTAAAAGTTAAATACCATGTAATTAAAAACAAATTATATAGCCAGGTATGAGGAAATATTAAATTCTTTGGGAGTCTTTGCTACCTTATTGTTATTAATAATTCTTTATCTTTTATTTTATGTTTTTTTGTACCTAGAGGAGGAACCAGTTTTTTTCTAGAAAAGTCCCAGAGACTTGCTGAGTAAGAATTTCAACTCAAGACACCTTTTGACATTTGAGCATTTAAAAATCCTTTATGGTATTTTCCAGCTCTTGTTTGCTAACTTGGTTCAGATTATTTCTGCTTTTTAAAAATTCTGTTTATTTTTATTTTATGTATATGAGTGTTTACTGACATGTCTATGTGTGCACCCTCAGAGTCTATAGAAGAGGGTGTTAGATCCCTAGAATTGGAGTCACAGACAGTTGTGAGCCACCATGTGAGTGATGGGAACTGAGTCCAGTCCTCTGCAAGTGCTCTTAACCACTGAGCCATCTTCCCAGCCCCTGTGCTAATCTTAGAAAAGGCCTGACAACTCCTCTCCTGTGTAGTCCCCTCTTGTCACCAAAGTAACGTGTTTGGTTTTTGTGTTTTTTTTTCCAGTATTTTTACATTGAGATCAGTTATCTTTCTCTATCATGCTATCATAGCTTTGGAGAAAAATTTAATTACTTTTTGTTGTTGTTGTTTTTTGAGACAGGGTTTCTCTGTGTAGCTCTGACTGCCCTGGAACTCGCTCTATAGACCAGGCTGGCCTCGAACTCACAGAGATCCTCCTGCCTCTGCCTCCGTAGTGCTGGAATTAAAGGCGTGTGCCACCACTGCCCAGCCAAAATGTAATTCTTTTCTGGTGTTGTATCTTGTGGATATCATGTCCCACCTTCCATTTTAGGGATCAAATCATTGCTTGACTTGGTACAACCTGACCTCTAATTGTAATCTCAGTATGATACCCATCCTTGATAAATAACATCCTGTGAAAGGGATATGCTAGAGTAACTTCCCACATTAAAAACAAGCAAGCAAACAACAAAACCAGATGTGGTAGCATGTATTTGTAATCCCAGCTCTGGGATACTGAGACAAGCAGTTCCCTGGGACTAACCAAAGCATCAGCCAGCCTAACCAAAGCATCAGGCCTCAGATCCAGTGAGAGATCTTATTTCAAAAAACAAGGTGTATGATCCCTAAAGAACAACAGCTGAGGACCTCTAGCCTCCATGTGTACCTGTACACACACACACACACACACACACACACACACACACACACACACACGGTGGGGGGATACTTGATTCTCCATGGTGTTCTCTTTACTTACATCTAAGTTTCAGGCATGAATGGATTAACTTCAAGTTAATTTAATATCTCAACTCTCTGAAAATATTTCCATTATTAAGATAGACAATACTGAAAGGCATAATCAACTATGTAAATACAAACTTTACAGGTTTGTCATTCTTCCAAATGAGTACCTACCAAGCATGGAGTGCTTGGGACGCTGCAGGAGGAGAGCCACCTTTCTTTGTTGCTTTGGTATCTCAGGGACACTTGGTTGTCGGGGAGGAAGGTTCTTTAACTTTGTCCAGAGGACGTTATTGGTAGACCTGAGTGCTCAGAGGTTCTAGGACTTCCGTGTTCTTTGTAGAATTTTGGGAGGAAAGAATGATGTCTACCTCGGTGATAGTCTTTAAGAAGTTAATGTGGCATTGCCCTAAAATGAATCAGAACACAGGTATGCAGCCCCTTGCCAAGCCACACTGGCTGTTAGGGCCTGTAAGGCTTGATTGTAGTTTGTTGGAATGTGAAAACTGAAACTGTCAAAATAGACCAGAGGCTGATTTGCCCTGCTGAAGCATAGTGGTGCAGACAGTGAGCAACAGTTGGTAGTCAGTCAGCCTCTGGAATGGTTGTCTCTCATAATATAGAATAAATGGCATTTTAAGTGGTTACTTTAGTTCTGTGGGCATTTTAGGACTGGTATAGATATACAAGAGAAGTCTGGTGACTCGAGATTTTTGTTTTTGAGACAGTGTCACTCTGTTGCGCATGCTGGCCTGTAACTCTCTTTGTAATACAGGCTGGCCTTGGTTTATGGCAGCCCTCCTATTGAAACTTCCTGAGTGCTGGGATTATGGGTATGAACCACCATGTCCAGCTAGTGATTCAAATGTTTAATAAGGAAAAAAAAACCTGAATGTCTCCCAGTTCAAACAAGGTCTTATTCACAAGGCCTTCAGAGCAAAAGTCCAATCCGCCTGACCCTCCCTTTATGGATGATTCTCCTACCCTATTCCTACCACTCATTTTGTCTATAGATTTTACTTGTCTGCCTTTACTCATCCACTTTTCTAAAATTGCTCAGAAAATGCACAAGATTAGTTTTGTGTTAGTAGAAAGGATTATAATTCAGGATCCATCCTCTGCTGGTGTTTACATGATATAAAATAGTTATGATGAAGTTTCCTGAAGAAATCTTTACTATTTCCTGTGATCACCATGAAAAGAGGAAAAGATTGGTAGTCTGATAATGGAAAGGAAGCTAATGTATGCAGTGTAACAGTTGCGGGCCTGAGAGGCCAAGTGTGACGCATCATCTCCTTATGCTTTCCTGTCCAGTTTGATCAGGACATCCAGGTCCTGCATTCAGTTGCACTTGGTTTTGAGTTTTTACTGGCCAAAAGCTGTGGAGAGAAAATGCTGGGTTTTGAGTTTTTACTCATTGAAAGCTGTGGAGAGAAAATGCTGGGTTTTGAGTTTTTACTCATTAAAAGCTGTGGAGAGAAAATGCTGGGCATTAGGAGGAACCTGGAAGATGATTGGGGCAGCAGTTTTCTGACTTTTCCAGTGAAATACATCAAATAGTCTAGGAGAACGAGGTGACAGCTGACTGGTTTGAGGATGTGTCTCAAAGTGACTTGAATGCAAACGTAAAACCTTTTTAATTTTAATGTTCACTTAAAAAATCACAGAGGGAAAAAATTCCTGGTTGGCCTGGGGATGCAGCTCAGTTGGTAGACAGAGTGTTTGGCTAGCATAAGAGAGCTCGGAGTTTGATCCCTAGTACTGCATAAACTCAGAACTGGTAGTACACAACTATAATGTCAGCACTTGGAAGGGGGTGACAGGAAGATCATGAATTAAAGTGAGATCAAGGGAAGCCTAGAATACGTGAGACTCTGTCTCAAAGAAAAAAATTGCAAGTAGTTTGTGTTCTTTGTTTTTTTTGAGACTGGGTTTCTTTTTTCTTTATTTTTATTTTACTTTGGGTATGTTTTTTTTTTCCAGACAGGGTTTCTCTGTGACTTTGGAGGTTGTCCTAGAACTAGCTCTTGTAGACCAGGCTGGTCTAGAACTCACAGAAATCCTCCTGCGTCTGCCTCCCGAGTGCTGGGATTAAAGGTGTGCGCCACCACTGCCTGGCATAGTTTGTGTTCTTACCGATGGTATTTGTGTGCATGTGTTTGAAGCACCCTCTGCCCTTTACTGTGGTCCACTTAGTGCTTGGGAATACAGTGAAGAAGCAGGGAGGGGTGGGTTATATAATAACAGATTTCTGATTTGGGGCTGGAGAGATGGGTCAGTGGTAAGGAGCACCTCCTACTCTTCTGGTGGACCTGGGTTTGATTCCCAGCACCAACATGGCAGTTCACAACCATCTATAACTCCAGTCTTGTGGAATTCAGTGACCTCTTCTAGCCTTCACCATTACCAGGTGTGGCATGGTCACAGACATACATATAGGGAAAACATACATATACATGAAAATAAAATTTTAAAAAAGATTTCCGATTGTGGGTGAGTGTTCTTATCTTTTGTCTACGTATTATCATTATTCAGAAATAGATATTTTATTTTGTTTTATTGTTTTTCAAGACAGATTTTCTCTGTGTAGCCCCAGGTGTCCTGAAACTCTGTAGACCAGGCTAACCTGTGACTCAGAGATCAGCCTCTGCTTCTCAGATGCTGGGATCAAAGGCATGTGCTGCCACTGCCCAGCTCAGAAATGGATCTTAATGGGTTGCACTCCTAAAATCACAAATGCTATGTAAGTGTGAGGGTTTGAGTATAACTATATTACTCCCAGAGTGGAATTTTGTTGAATTTAATAGAAGAGAGAATGCCAGGGTATAGGGCAGGAGACTTTTTTTTTTTTTTTTGACATGTGTGGTGAGGCTCAGGTCCAGCAAACTTAACTAACCATTGGTATAATTCCAGGAGAGAGCATTGGCAGTTGCTGGGTAATTTGAAGACTACTGTGGAGGGTTTGGTGTCAGCCAACTGCCCCAATGTCTGGTCCAAGTATGGTGGCCTGGAGCGGCTATGCAGGGACATGCAGAGCATTCTGTATCATGGGCTCATCCATGACCAGGTATGTAGAATTCATTTTCCCCCACCTAATCTGCGGAATCACTTGGAAAGCAGTTGCATTAGGTTAGTTGGCAGAGAAAAAATGAAGCCCACTGGTTTGTGTGAGTTCTTGAGTCCAGAATTGAGGCTGTGTGTGTGCTTGCATCTACCTCTCTCCCCCTCCCTCTCTCCCTCTCTCCCCCTTCCTCTCTCCCGCTCTCCCTCTCTTCTACCCTCTCCCGTCCAGAACATCTCACTTAGTGCCTGATATGCCATAGATGTCAGAGGAAGGAATAATCAGCTGGGTTGAGCAGCACATGGGTAAGAGGTTAGGTCAGTTTGTTTCCTGTTGATTCTGTAACAAAGATGAATTTACTGACCAGTTAGAGATTTATATCTTTCCTTTCCTGAGGTCAGAATTCTCAAATAAGTTTCATTGGGCTCAAACCAGGGTGTCTGCTGTGTTACATTCTTCTAGGAAGTGTTAATCGTTTCTTCTCTCATCTTTTTCAGCTTTCTGTGTGTCTGAGTTCTTTGACTGGTGGCCCCACTTCTTACAAACCAGTAGCATAGTGAAATTTATTTCTGCTTTTATATCACCTCTTCTTTCTATGAGCGCTCTCTCTCTCTCTCTCTCTCTCTCTCTCTCTCTCTCTCTCTCTCTCTCTCTCTCTCTCTCTGTCTCTCTCCCTCTCCCCTTCTCCCCCTCCCCCTCCTTCCTCCTAAAGAACCCTTGTAATAACATGGGCCCCACCTGGATGACCTCTCCATCTCAAGATTACTAAATTAATCACATCTGAAAAGTCCCTTTTGCCATAAAAGGTAATGGTCACAGTCCTTCTCTAGATTCTAGGGCCTCAAACTTAGGTGTCTTAGAAGACTTTCAGTTTTGTTTGTTTTTCGGGTCAAGGTTTCTCTGTGTGGCCCTGGCTGTCCTAGAGTTCACTCTGTAGACCAGGCTGGTGGTGGACTCACAGATATCCACCTGCCTCTGCCTCCCAAGTCCAGGGATTAAAGGCATGCACTACCACCGCCCAGATTTTTTTTTTACTTTTGTTAAAGTGATTATTTTAAAATTTTTATTTGTTTATTTTTATGTTTATGGGTGTTTTGTCTAGATGTATGTTTGTGTGCTGCATGTATGCCTGGTGTCCTGAAAGACCAGAGGAGAGCATCAGATGAACTAGAGTTACAGATGCTTGTAAACAGACATGTGGATGCTGGGATTAAACCCAGGTCCTCTGGAAGAATAATCAGTGCTCTTAACCACCGAGACAGCCCCTAGAAGACCATTTTCATCATCAATCACACTCAGGAAGATTTTCCTCCCCCTTAATTTCAGTCTTATTTTAGCACTGTGCTTTTGATCTGGGCTAAAGCCCAGTGGTGGTAAAGCAGTCGCTGTATACGCAGGGTCCCAGCAGTGAAGTCACTCACCTACTCACTCTGTTAGTCAGTAAATAGAAAAACCATGCTTTCTCTCCAAGCCCCACCCCCAAATATGGAATAAAGGAAGAGTGAGCCAATGCAAACATGTTCAGTCTCTTTTATCCAGGAAATGTTTCTACTGAGTAAGAAGCTGAAACTCCATGTGGTCAGTTATTCTGTACTTGGAAGGCTTTGATCCAGAGACCAGTGTGTGCTGTGGAGATTGACACCTAGGCTTGATGAGTTTCCTGTAATTAATGTTTCTTGTTTGATGCAAAACCACCCTTTCTTTCTCTGAGTCTGGAGTTCCTTAAATTTAAACTTCTGTTGTTACTTTAAATTAGTAACAGGGTAAAAGAATTGTAGTGAGGATTCTTTCTTGAAATAATTAGAAAGCTTTTGCAGGTGTAGAAGGCCTAGTGAAAACAGGAAGATGGCATGAGTATCAGTTTGATATGATTGGTTCACTTGGATTTCCTCTTTAGAAGCATCCCAGGACACATCTGAGAAATAATTTAAAAGTTTCATAATATACTTTGAGATTACTTTGTAGACAACTGCTTGATGTTTCTGAATGGTAGTTTTTAGAGATTTATTTATATTTTTATGTGTATGGGTGCTTTGCCTGCATGCATGTCTGGGCACCATGTATGTGCAGTGCACACAGAAGCTGGGAGATGGCAGCACCTCTCACTTTGCTGTTTTCTTTCATATTTTTGTTGTTGTTTTTGTAATTTAAAATTTTTAGCTTAGTTTTTAAATTTATTTTTATTTTATTGGTGTTTTGCCTGTACGTATATCTGTGTGAGGGTGTTGGATCCTTGAGTTACAGACAGTTGTGAGATATCATGTGGGTGCTGGGAATTGAACCTGGGTCCCATGGGAGAGCAGTCAGCCAGTACTCTTAACCACTAAGCCATCTCTCCAACCCCCTTGTTTTAGTTTTTTAGCATGTATTTTATCTACTCTTTGATAGTTTTTACATGTACACAGTGTATCTTGAGCAAATCCACCACTGACTTACCATTTTAGCATGTATTTTACCTATTCTTTGATAGTTTTTACATGTACACAGTGTATCTTGAGCATATCCACCACTGACTTACCATTTTCATCTCCCTCTTTACCTAGATTCTCCCTGACAGTATATCCCCATCTCACCTGCATGTCCTCTGGGGTGGGCTGCCATGTAGATGCTAGAATCGAACCTGGGTCCTCTGGAAGGGCAACCAGTGCTTTTCACCACCGAGCCATTTCTCCAGCCCTGAATGACAGTTTTGGTTAAATCTTTCTCAGTATAAACTTTAGCAGTGTTTATTTTTGTTTGTTTTTGTTTTTTGAGATAGGGTTTCTCTGTAGCTTTGGAAGCTGTCCTGGAACTCACAAAGATCTGCCTGCCTCTGCCTTCCTAGTGCTGGGATTAAAGGCTTGTGCCACCACCACTTGGCAAGTGTTGATTTAACTTTCCTTCAAATTCTCAGACTTTCTAATGCGCTCTGAGTTTTGAAAATGAGTGGAATCCAGTAATAATTGTTTTTGCTTTGACAGTTACTCCGTGTGTAATGATTTAGGTAAAGTTTCTTAGTTCTAGATAGAATTGTCGTGTGAGTTACTGATATTTAGTATAATGCATTTGCAAAATAAACCTTAAGTCTGAGGTGAGTTACTGATATTTAGTACTATCCATTTGCAAACTTAAGTCTGAGGTGATAGCTAAAGCAGTTTTTGCCTTTCAAGCATATGAATCTGAGTTCTATCCCCCAGAAATCATATTTTTAAAAAAATCTAGATGTGAAGAGGTAGAATGAATGAGTCATTTGGCAACAGCTGTTGCCTTTTTATTTTCTTTCTTTTTGTTGTTGTTTTGTAATTTAGATTTTTGTTTTAGGGTTTTTTAAGTATATATATATATTTTGACAGTTTTTACATGTATATCGTGTGTCTTATCATACTCACCAGTGACTTGTCCTTCTCATCTTCCACTCTACCTGGATACTCCCCAACAGACAACCTGTGCCCCCACCTTCATGTCCTCCCCCCTTTTTTGTTAGTTTGTTTTATAACCCACTGAGTCCAGTTGGTGCTGCCTGCTGGGATGTTGTCCTGAGCTGTGCAGATAACTGCAGCTGCAGTGAGCTCACTGCCCTGTCCAGAAGACAGCGTTTCACAGGCTCCTCTCCATCCTCTGGTTCTTACATTCCTCCTGCCTCTTCTTCCTCAGGGTTCTCTCAGTCATGGTGGCAGCGAGAGCGGGTGGTGATACAATGACCTGTTCAGGACTGTGTCTCAGCTTTCTGCCTAGAAGAAATTCTGAATTCCAATCTCCTAGCCCAGGCTGCTCTTGAACCTTAGACCCAGAGAATTGACAGACTTTTCTTCTGGGATAGCTTTCAATATCTTAAGTTCCTATTTCCAAAGCAGAGCCAAACTACTTATAGAATGGTAGTAATTCTAGTCTCTGGCCATCCAACCTAACCTGTTTGACCAGTGAGAAACCCTGTCTCAAAAAATAAGGTGGACAACACTTGGAATAACACACAAAGCTGTTGTCTGATCTCATGCATGTACAAAGGCACACATATGTGCTCCTGCACATATACAAATTCAGATCTCACTAGTACACACATAATTGAGTGTCCTTAAACACTTATCTGCCTATGCCAGAGATTAATATTCTTCTCAGGAAGTGTAGGAGGCTTTCTATGGCCTCCAAATCATAACACAGATATTTATTATTAGTTATGAATGCTCAGCCTTACCTCATGCTTGCCTCACTAGCTTTTTTGTTTTTGTTTGTTTGTTTTGTTTTTTTGAGACAGGCTGTCCTGGAATTAGCTCTTGTAGACCAGGTTGGTCTTGAACTGACAGGGATCCGCCTGCCTCCTGAGTGCTGGGATTAAAGGCATACGCCACCACCGCCCAGCCCCACTAGCTCTTATAAATTAATTTAACCTGTTTCTCTTCATCTGTGTTTTGATTGGGGATTTTTACCTTTCTTTCATTCTGTATGTCCTGCTTTTGTGCTTCCTCCTTGACTGGCTTAGATAGGCAGCTGCCTGGCTGGTTGGCGACTGCATTGCTGGCTGACGACGGACAGTTTCCTGTCTTTCTCCCTCATTCTCTTCTCTCTTGAGCCTAGATTCCTCTGCCTACTTATTCTGTCTGCCCACCACCTCTACTGTCTAGCTAATCGGCCATTCAGCTTTTTATTAGACCAATCAAGTGCCTTAGGCAGGCAAGGAAAAAACAAATGCAACACATCTTTACATAGTTAAACAAATATTCTTCAGCGTAAACAAATGTAACACATCTTTGCCTTGTTAAATATTCCACAAGAAAGTCCTTTTTTTTTGCCAGAGCTAAGTTTCTCTTTTCTTTTTTATCTGAATTCATTTTCTGCTAGCAATCACATGGGAAATTATCTCTGAAAAGTTTCTGCACCCCATAAGCCTCTCTGCCCACACAGCAATCCAAATCAAACTAAATTAGGAAAAGCTCACGTTTAATGGATACAAGGCTCCCAGATGGTTTTTAGAGAGGAGATGGGAAAGAGGGACTGGAAAACCACCCATCTGTTTTCTGGGGGACAGTTTA